ATGTGGGAAGAAGAACAGTCAACTGGAGGCTGTATGTGGGAAGAAGAACAGTCAACTGGAGGCTGTATGTGGGAAGAAGAACAGTCAACTGGAGGCTGTATGTGGGAAGAAGACAGTCAACTGGAGGCTGTATGTGGGAAGAACAGTCAACTGGAGGCTTGTATGTGGGAAGGAAAACAGTCAACTGGAGGCTGTATGTGGGAAGAACAGTCAACTGGAGGCTGTATGTGGGAAAGAACAGTCAACTGGAGGCTGTATGTGGGAAGAAGAACAGTCAACTGACTGACCAAGACCAGTATGACCACTATTTCTTACAAATAGGAAACCAGCTGAGATAAAATGCTGATTTTAAATGCATCACAAATCTTAACTTGTTCAGTAATGATGCAGGAGTCTAAAGCTACTTGCTTAGGCGGGGAAGTAGAGAAATTACCCCGTTTCAGTGACTTAACGTTTCGAAAGTTAGGACGGATCGGTAACAGTCTGTCATAAGCGCTAGGAAGTATTAATTGAATTGGTCTCGTTAACCGAGGCAGTGAACACATTTCTCAATTGCCTAAAAAGCTGTCAATCAGCTAACGAGCCAGTTTCTCTAGCCTTGGCCCAGGCTTGATTTCTTATCAAGAGGAGGTCTGAGAGTACAAGAGAGTACCATGGATTCGTTCGGTATTTGACTCTGAGTCGCTTGAAAGTTTATCAGCCAGAGAGCTAAAAATGGATGAGAAAAATTCAAGCGCCACAACAGGGTCTGGTATACAGCTAGTAGACAACAGCTCTTAGTAATATAGATCATGAAGGAACGCCTGGGGGTGAATAATATAGATCATGAAGGAACGCCTGGGGGTGAATAATATAGATCATGAAGGAACGCCTGGGGGGGAAAATAGCAATATTAAGGACATGGGGGTAAATAATCAGATCAGAAGGAAGCCTGGGGTGAAAATATAGATCATGAAGGAACGCCTGGGGTGAACAATAAGATCATGAAGGAAACCTGAAGGAGTTGAGAAAAGACCATGAAGGATCGCTGGGGTGTAATTAATTGAGGTCATGAAGGTACACCTGGGGGTGAACTAAAAGTTCATGAAGGATACGCTGGTGGTAGACATTATTAGATCTGAAGGAACCCTCCAGTCGAATAATATTAGATCATGAAAGGAAGCCTGGGGGGGGAATATAGATCCGCAAGGAAACATGCTGGGGTTATTGCATTTATAAGGAAACACCTGGGGGTACAAATAGAGCAGCGATACCCTGGGGTTAATAATAGATCATGCACGAGCCTGGGGTTATAAATGATCATGAGGACCATCCCTTGGGATTAATAATAAGATCATGAAGGAACGCCTGGGGGTGAATAATATAGATCATGAAGGAACGCCTGGGGGTGAATAATATAGATCATGAAGGAACGCCTGGGGGTGAATAATATAGATCATGAAGGAACGCCTGGGGGTGAATAATATAGATCATTGCAAGGAACGGCCCTTGGGGGTGAATAATATAGTCATGAAGGAACGCCTGGGGGTTGGTGAGTTTTTCAATTTGGGTTTCTCTAATGCAAGCAATATGGGCAGTGGTCGCTGATATCATTGGTTTTCCTCTAATGCAACGCCAATAGGGCAGTGGTCGCTGATATCATTAGCAAAAACACCACTAGCCAAATACTTAAGGGGATGGTTAGTCAGGATAAGGTCAATCAGTAAGGAGTTTCAGGATAAGGTCAACCAATAAGGAGTTTCAGGATAAGGTCAACCAATAAGGAGTTTCAGGATAAGGTCAACCAATAAGGAGTTTCTAGGGTTTTTTTACATTAATCTGAGTGGGTTTCATTATCAACAGAGTCAAGTTGCCTCAGATCAGTTTAAGAATATCTGACTTGAGTTCATGTGTAAGCCAGTCTATTGAGATCTCCTAGCACAACCAGTTCAGATACCAGAAAGGGTTTTAAATAATCAGAAATAATGGCTGGGGGGGGGGTAGACCGCAGCAATAAATATATGCATATTTTGGCTTATGGCCACTTTTATAACCAACAGCTCACACATTTTGGGGGACAGAGATGCTAAGGCAGCATGATACCATGAGAGATCTTACATAAATAGCCACTCCCCTTTTTTTCACATCTGAAAAAGTTTTTTGTCCGCAATGGCAACGTCCTTATCCCTAATCAAATTAATTCAGCCAGGTCTCTGAGATAACCTGAACGTCTGGGCAAGCGTCATGCACCCAGACATCCAGAAAGTCCAGTTTAGACATTAGGCTTCGCACATTTTATATGCAACAGTCCAAGCCCTCTGCGAGATTGAAAACAGCAGGAGTATCCATGGTGACACAAGACTCAATAGAACTGGATGAGCTAGCCACGATAGGCTTCCTGATTGGATTAGAAGTTGCAGAGCTAATAGTAGAATTCAGGTAAATGTGCACAAGATTACTATTGACAATACCCCTATGCTTATGAGCACATGTAGCAATACGATATCTTGATATAAAACTATTAATAGCATAGGTGGAGCTTACAACAGTGGGTTCCTTACGGAGCTAACAGCTATCAATGGGAATTAAATTAACAGGCACATAATTACTATTTACAATACCCCTAACAACATCGGAAGCTGTGGTGGAATGATATCACTGCGATATAATGGGAGTAAATACCTTTGAGGAGTTTGATTTGATCAGTCAATGCCTCAGCGCAGCCTTGTAGTGTTTGGACAGGATCCAGGCACCCAAATGATTAGAGTGGATCCCATCTTCCTTATAGAGCATCCTCTGCTTCCAAAAGGTGTAAACGTTTTCTACAAAAGTTACACCCAAGGAGCTGCAGGAGTAACGTAGCCAGTTGTGAAGTGCTAGTAGCCTGCTAAAACTTTCACTACCTCGACCCTAGCGAGGGCACAGGTCCAGAAATGATAGGACGTTTTTTTTTGTGTCCAGCAGAGACCCAATCAATTCTTCAAAGTCCTGTTGCAGCCATTCCAAGCTACCATTCCTAATGTCTTTAAATCCCACATGGACTACAACAGCATCAATCTCCGTGTGCTGATGTATAATGGTGGCTAACAGCCTAGTAATATCCTGTACTCGAGCCCCGGCGTAGCACAGAGTTTTTGCTCCAGAAACCGAGATGCTTCTTACCATTGTGCTACCTAAGACAACAGCTGGCAAGATGGAAGAGGAAATCTGCCCGTTCCTACGCCTCGCATGATTCAGGAGACCCGTCGAGGACTTGCGAGAGAGGCGGAATCTCGCAAGCCCGCAACTTTTGGCACCCGGTTCGAGCCTCCCATAACCAATGAAGCCTCATTCACTGTAGAAGCCACCGGAGAGGGAGTCAGAACAGGCTGAATCTCTGGATCCAGGGCGGTGAAGCTGTTTTGACGTCTGTATCCGGTCCAGGCTTCCCAAAGGCCGCTGCTTTTGACTTCCACGGCAAGTGACGTGCCTCCCATGGCTGTTTGGCAGGGTCAAGAATAGGAACATCCACTAAGTCATCCAGAAGCATCCTCAACTAACTCAATTTCCCAGGGAAGGGGGGAGACCCCTTCGGGGAGGGATCCCTGCAGAGCACCGGCCAGTCAGCTATGGAGAGACGACACGGCGGCGACATTCCCGTCAGGTCAGAGAAGGCGTCCAGCTACGGGAGTAAAAGAGAAAGAGATAGTAGGTGGACGTGGATTCTTCCGGAAGGATCTCTGCACTTCCTCTGCAAACAAACCGTGGTTAGATTGAAAGTCCAGACATTATCCTGGAATAGAGTAAAATAAACAGCATTGAAAACCGTTCATTAGTGAAACTACAGGCTCGCTAGGCTAACTCGGTTTCTTCTTGACAGGAATTTACTAGATGTTTGCTATAAGCTACAGTGGGTTCGCAAACGCAGCCCCTCCCGAAACAAGCACAGCCTGTGAAATGGCAAACATTCAAGCAACACACACCCGAGTCGCACACCAGTACGGCAAACGGAGAGAAAGTGGAGGATCCTGTATCCTGACTGCACATAGGCTAAATGAGCGGGAGATGACCAACTCGCAAGTTGGTGCTGTAGAAGTAAAGCAGTAAATTGCGGGGTAGTTTTGATGCCAAAACATCAGTCAACAAGTTAAGGAGAGACCGGTAGCTGGACCATTCGCTTAACTACGAGCAGGTTCAGTCTGCTTTACAACAGACACTGGGAGACAAATTCACCTTTCAGCAGGACAATAACCTAAAACACAAAGCCAAATCTACACTGGAGTTGCTTACCAAGACGACATTGAATGTTCCTGAGTGGCCTAGTTACAGTTTTGACTGAAATTGCCTTGAAAATCTATGGCAAGACTTGAAAATGGCTGTCTAGCAATGATCAACAGCCAACTTGACAGAGCTTGAAGATTAGAAAAAAAAGAATAATGTGCAAATATTGTGCAATCCAGGTGTGCAAAGCTCTTAGAAACTTACCCAGAAAGACAGTTGTAATTGCAAAGGTGATTTTAACATGTATTGACTCAGTGGGTTGAATACTTATCTAATCAAGATATATTCGTTATTTCTTTCCATTATAATAAAAAATGTGTACAAAGAATCTTACATTACATAGTATTTTGTGTAGATCGTTGACAAAAAAGGACAATGAAATCAATTTTAATCCCACTTTGTAGCACTATTTTTTAAATGTTTTATTTCAAGGGGTCGGAATACTTTCTGAAAGCTCTGTATATGTCAATAGGCTTTGGTATGGGTTCCTCTCTGACTTCTCTCAAGGCTTTGGATTTGAGTGATTTCACTAATGAAAGGGTTACATCCGCTGGAGAAATGGAGCAAGTTGTTTCGAAGCTCATGAGCTAGATTCAGAGATACATTCAGCTCGATGATAGTTGTTAGTACAGAAAACGTATGATATATATATTTTTAGTGAGTTTTATCAAGTGAAACGTGAAAACACATACAGTACTTTGGGGCCTAAGCAACTCTGGAAACTAATGCTACTTGTCTAACCTTTCTGTCTGTCCATCTGGCAGGACCAGAACATTACAGCCGAAGAGGGCGGGATCGAACAAGGTGGCATCGGGGCGGCATCGTCGGGAGTGATGGGTGACGAACCTGCCGCTGCGGTGGCGGCGGAATGCTGCGGGGGCGGAGCCAACAGCTGTTCCTCAGGTGTCCTATCCCTCTCGTCTTCCAGCCAGGACCAGCTATTGGACGATCACCACTTGGAAGAGTGTCCTTTGTGCCTCCTCAGCCAACCACGATGCCGGTTCCCCCGCCTCTCTTCCTGTTCCCACCGGGCCTGCTACGACTGCCTGAGACAGTACCTGAAGATCGAAATCTCAGAGAGCAGGGTGGGCATTGCCTGTCCGCAATGCCCCGAGGCGTTGGCGCCGCAAGATGTGCGGGCCATCCTGGATGACCAGGCGCTGCTGGAGAGATTCGAAGAGTACCAGCTGAGACGGTTTCTGGCGGCCGACCCGGACACACGCTGGTGTCCTGCACCCGACTGCAGGTAGAGCCACTGAGTCACTCAGTTCATTCTACTGATTTCAGAATCGTTTGTAGTCAGAAGCTTCATATTCGGGGAGTCAATAGTACCAGCTCAGGAGGTACCCTGCGCCTGACTGCCTGACTGCAGGTCGAGCCATTGTAACAAGTACACCCATCTGATAATTATGTTCATAGATTCAGGGTAAAATGTTTTGAGTCAGTCAGTCAGAACTATCCAGGGAGAGAGTTAACTGCAGGAGTCACGTAACAGGAGTAAAGGGAGACTCAGCGAAGTGACTTTGGACGAGCAAAGATGCCAAGACTTCTCACGCAGAGTATCTGCTCGTGTGCTTCAGTTCCCTTCACGCAGCTACAACGTGGTAGATACGGGACCAAAACAGCGGAGAAGTTGAGCCTTGCGCTTCAACGCTCTTTAGTTGTTGCGGACATTGGCAACTAAATTTTGCTTAGGGTCCCCCCGCAAAAAAAAGGCTAGGGCCCGGCTCTGACTGCATGTGTGTGAGCATGCTGACCCACGAGCCACTGCGGCCCCTCCCCATCAGTTGGCCGTTCTATATCAGACGATGTTGACACAATGGGCCTCCAGTATTTATTTATCAGGTATTACTGGGGCCAAGAGGGGAAAGTCCAGAATTGCATAAGCCCGAAAGTCTTTAAAAGTATCCAGCATTGCATAAGCCCAAAAGTCTTTTAAAAGTATCCAGCATTGCATAAGCCTTGAATTCACAGCTGTGACTCATGTTCCTAATATACGCACGTTCCACAAGGTCTTAGGGACAGAAGGTTAATACTAGAGCCTATTCAGTTTTTCAATGTGTGTTTTGTTTTGTGTATGAGACTGAGTGTGTGTCTGTCTGTGTCTGTGTGTTTCACTGTGTGTGACAAAATGAGTTTTTAGTGACATTTGAGTTCGATTTCTACAGAATTACGTGTGTGTGTGTGTGTGTGTGTGTGTGTGTGTGTGTCTGTGTCTGTGTCTGTGTCTGTGCCTGTGTGTGTCTGCCTGTCTGTTTTATTGTCTATTTGGTATCCATTCTATTCTCTCTGTGTCCTCCCAGCAAGGCAGTGGTAGCATTCTGTCTTAGTTATCTGTTCTGTTCTGTTCTGTTCTGTTCTATTCTATTCTATTCTGTTCTCCTCTCTGTCTCCCCAGCTTTGCAGTGATAGCGTATGGCTGTGCAGAGTGTCCTAAGCTAAGCTGTGGGCGTGAGGGCTGTGACACAGAGTTCTGCTACCACTGTCGCCAGCTGTGGCACCCCGACCAGACGTGTGACCAGGCTCGACGCCAGCGGGCACGCCACACCTCCGGGGGAAATGATGCCTCCACACTATATGTCTTCAACGAGGAGCCTGGAGGCGGTAGGGAGATGGCCACACTGTATATTTACGTACTAAGTCCCATACATACACTACATGACCAAAAGTATTGTGGACACCTGCTCGTCGAACATCTCATTCCAAAATCATGGGCATTAATATGGAGTTGGGCCCCACTTTGCTGCTATAACAGCCTCCACTCTTCTGGGAAGGCTTTCCACTAGATGTTGGAACATTGCTGCGGGTATTTGCTTCCGTTCAGCCACAAGAGCATTAGTGAGGTCAGGCACTGATGTTGGGCGATTAGGCCTGGCTCGCAGTCGGCGTTCCAATTAATCCCAAAGGTGTTCGATGGGGTTGAGGTCAGGGATCTATGCAGGCCAGTTAAGTTCTTCCACACCAATCTCGACAAACCATTTCTGTATGGACCTCACTTTGTGCACGGGGGCATTGTCATGCTGAAACAGGAATGGGCCTTCCCCAAACTGTTGCCACAAAGTTGGAAGCACAGAATCGTCTACAATGTCGTATGCTGTAGCGTTAAGATTTCCCTTCAATGGAACTAAGGGGCCTAGCCGCATCCACCAAACTTTACAGTTGGCACTATGCATTGGGGCAGGTAGTGTTTTCCTGGCATCCACCAAACCCAGATTCGTCTGCCAGATGGTGAAGCGTAATTCATCACTCCAGAGAACGCGTTGTCACTGCTCCAGAGTCCAATGGCGGCGAGCTTTACACCACTCCAGTCGAAGCTTGGCATTGCACATGGTGATCTTAGGCTTGTGTGTGGCTGCTCGGCCATGGAAACCCATTTCACGAAGCTCCAGACGGACGTGCGGACGTTGCTTCCAGAGGCAGTTTGGAACGCGGTAGTGAGTGTTGCAACTGAGGACAGACGATTTTTACGCGCTACTCTCTTCAGCACTCGGCGGTCCCATTCTGTGAGCTTGTGTAGCCTACCACTTCGCGGCTGAGCCGTTGTTGCTCCTAGACGTTTCCACTTCACAATAACAGCACTTACAGTTGACCGGGGCAGCGCTAGCAGGGCAGAAATTTGACAAACTGACTTTTTGGAACGGTGGCATCCTATGACGGTGCCACGTTGGAAGTCACTGAGCTCTTCAATAAGGCCATTCTACTGCCAATGTTTGTCAATGGAGATCGCATGGCTGTGTGCTCGATGTTATACACCTGTCAGCAACGGGTGTGGCTGAAATAGCCGAATCCACTCATTTGAAGGGGTGTCCACATACTTTTGTAAATATAGTGTAGTCCATGCAGTATACATACTAGTCATGATACAGTACATTGTACAGAGGAGGTAGTCTGACACAGGGACACTGTGGACACTGTTCAGACTGTTAATACAGTTCAGGCTGTTAATACTGTTCAGGCTGTTAATACTGTTCAGGCTGTTAATACTGTTCAGGCTGTTAATACTGTTCAGGCTGTTAATGCTGTTCAGACTGTTAATACTGTTCAGGCTGTTAATGCTGTTCAGGCTGTTAATACTGTTCAGGCTGTTAATACTGTTCAGATGTTAATGCTGTTTAGGTGTAATGCTGTTTGGTGTTTAAAACGTTCAGGTTTCAGGCGTTAAATGTTCAGGCGTTAATATGTTCGGCTGTTTAAAAGTCGGGTTTTTTAAGTGTTCAGGGTGTTAATGTGTTCAGACTGTTAAAAGTTTAGGCTTTTTTAATGCTGTTTTAGGCTGTTAAAACTGTTTAGGGTTAATATTTCAGGCGTTTACTGTTCAGGCTGTTTAAAGCGTTTAGGCTGTTTTTAAAACTGTTAGACTGTTAATGGTTTAGGGTGTTGATGCTGTTTCAGGCTGTTAAAGGTTCGGCGTTAATGTGTTCAGGCTTTAAACTTTTTAGGCGTTTAAAACTGTTAAGTGTTTGGCGTTAAAACTGTTCAGGCTGTTAATGCTGTTAGGCTGTTAAAACGTTCAGGGTTAATACGTTTAGGGGGTTAAGCTGTTAAAACTGTTCAGGCTGTAATACTGTTCAGGGTTCGGGGGTTAATGCTGTTCGGCTGTTAATGCTGTTCAGGGACTGTTCAGGCTGTTAATACGTTCAGAGTTCAGGCTGTTAAAATGTTTAGGTGTTTAAACGTTAGGCTGTTAATACTGTAGGGGTTTTTAATATTTAATACTGTTCAGGGGTTTTATGTTTAGGGTGTTAATACTTTTAGGGGTGTTATACTGTTTAGGCTGTTAAACTGTTAGGTGTTAATACGTTTAGTGTTAATCTGTTCAGATGTTAAAGTGTTCGTTTCGGTGTTTTTAAAATGTTCAGGGGTGTTATCGGGGCGGGGTTAATACTGTTTAGGCGTTTTAAAAGTTAGGTGTTAGGGGTTTAAAAAGTTCGTGTTAATACGTTCAGGGGTTTTAATTATGTTCAAATGTTAAAGTGTTTAGCTGTTCAGGTTTAATCGTTCGGTGTTCAGGCTTTTAAAGCTGTTAATATGTTCAGGCTGTTTTAAAATTTTTAGGCGTTTTAAAACTGTTTTGGCTGTTAATACTGTTCGGCTGTTCAGGTGTAAATTGTTCAGGCGTTAATACTGTTAGGCTGTAAAACTGTAGGTGTTAAAAACGTTAGGTGTTAATAGTTAATACTGTTAAAGGGTGTTTAATATGTTAAAACTGTTCAGGCTGTTAATACTGTTAGGCGTTAAAACTGTTAGGGTGTTTAAACGTTAGGTGTTTTTAAAATGTTTAGGGTTAATACTGTTCAGGGTGTTCAGGGGTGGGTAATATGTTTTAGGCTGTAATACTGTTATACGTTCAGGCGGGTTAAAATGTTCAGGCGTTTAATGTTAGGCTGTTAATAAATTTTTAGGTGTTAATAGTTAATTGTTTAGGGTTAATGCTTTTCAGGTGTTAATATGTTTAAACTGTTCAGGTGTTTAAAGCGTTCAGGGTGTTAATGGTTAAAACTGTTCAGGCTGTTAATATGTTCGAGTTAAAGTTTAGGTGTTAATGCTGTTCGGGGTTAATATGTTCAGGCGTTTAAAACTGTTAAAGGGCAGGCTGTTATGCTGTTAATACTGTTAGGGTTTTTTAAAACTGTTCAGGCTGTTAATACGTTTAGGCGTTATACTGTTTGGTGTTAATACTGTTAATACTGTTTAGGCTGTTAATTTACTGTTCAGGTGTTTAATACGTTGGCTGTTCTAGTTCAGGTGTTAATACGTTCAGGCTGTTAATACTGTCAGGGTGTTAAGTGTTCAGGGTTAATACTGTTTAAAACGGTTAGGGGTGTTTTAAAACTGTTAAAATGTTCAGGCTGTTTAAGCTGGTTTTAGGTGTTAATACTGTTAAATTTGGCTGTTTAATACTGTTTAGGCGGGTTTGTTAATCTGTTTTTTTCAGGTGTTAATCGTTAAAATGTTCGGCTGTTAAAAATTTTTAGGCTGTTTTTCGTTCAGGCTGTAATAGTTAATATTTTTAGGGTTTTGTGTTAGGTGTTAATACGTTGGTGTTAATGCTGTTAGGCTGTTAAGCGTCAGGCTGTTAATCTGTTCAGGCTGTTAATGTTTTCAGGCTGTTAATTGTTCAGGCGTTAAACTGTTCAGGCTGTTAATTGTTCAAATGTTAGGTGTTAATATGTTTAGGGGGTTAAACTGTTCGGCTGTTAATACTGTTAATACTGTTCAGGCGGGAATAGTTTAGGCTGTTAAGCGTTTAGGCGTTAAAGCTGTTTGGCTGTTAAACTGTTCAGGCTGTTAATACTGTTCAGGCGTAATGTTCAGGCGTTAATATGTTCAGGGGGTTAAAACTGTTGGCTGTTAATTTTGTTTAGGCTGTTAATACTTTTTAATTTTAATGTTCAGGCTGTTAATGCTGTTAAAACGTTTAGGCTGTTAATTGTTTTAGGTGAATACTGTAATACTGTTCAGGCTGAATACGTTAAAACTGTTCGGCGTTTAAAACGTTCAGGCTGTTAAAATTTTTCAGGGGGTTAATACGTTAATATGTTTGGGGTGTTTTACGTTTTAGGGGGGTTAATACTGTTCAGGGTGTTAAAACTGTTCAGGCTGTTAATGCGTTCAGGGTGTTAATCTGTTCAGGGGTTAAAACTGTTCAGGCTGTTTAAAACTGTTCACGTTCGGCTGTTAATACTGTTCAGGCTGTTTTAATATGTTCGGTGCCCGGGTGTTTAAAAATGTTCAGGCTGTTAATACTGTTAATAGTTCAGGCTGTATATGTTCAGGCGTAATTTTGTTCAGGTGTTCAGGCTGTTAATCGTTCAGGTGAATCTGTTAGGCTGTTAATACGGGTTAGGCTGTTAATACTGTTTTGGGGTTTTTATAGTTCAGGCGTTTTAAAACTGTTAATACTTTCAGGGTTTAATACTTGGAATATGTTCAGGGTTAATACGTCAGGCGTTTAAAACTTTTAAAATTTTTCAGGGTGTAATATGTTAGGCTGTTAAAACGTTAGGGTTAATCTGTTCAGGCTGTTAATCTGTTCAGGCTGTTAATGCTGTTAGGGGTGTTAATATGTTCAGGCTTTAAAACTGTTCAGGTGTTCAGGCGTTAATCTGTTCAGGTGTTAATATGTTCGGCTGTTTGGGTTTTAATACTGTTTTAGGCTGTTAATACGTTAATATGTTAGGCTGTTTAAAACTGTTCAGGTGTTAAGCTGTCAGGCTTTAATACTGTTCGGCTGTTTTACTGTTCAGGTGTTATACTGTTTAAAACTGTTCAGGGGTTTTTTAAACGTTATAGTTCAGGCTGTTAAATTTGCGTTAATACTGTTAATACTGTTCGGTGTTTATGTTAATACTGTTCAGGCTGTTATACGTTCAATGTTCAGGGTGGGTAATAGTTCAGGGGTTAATAGTTTTGGCTGTTAATATTTATATGTTTAGGCTGTTAATCTGTTAAAGGGGTTAAACTGTTTAAAACTGTTCAGGGTGTTAATTGTTTTAAAACTTTCAGGGTGTTAATACTGTTCGGGTTAATACTGTTAATATGTTCAGGCTGTTTAAACTGTTTAAGTTCAGGCTGTTAATCTGTTATACTGTTTTGGTGGTTTAAATTCATGCGTTTTAAAATGTTATACTGTTCAGGTGTTAAAACTGTTTAAAATGTTTGGCTGTTAATCTTTCAGACTGTTCGGCTGTTAATATGTTTAGCTGAATTGTTTAGGCGTTCAGGTTTAATATGTTCAGGCTTTAAAACTGTAATATGTTTAGGGTGTTAAACTGTTCGGCTGGTTTTAAAGTGTTTGGCTGTTAATATGTTTTAGGCGTTAATTTTGTTAGGCTGTTAATATGTTCAGGCGTTAATACGTTCGGTGTTAATATGTTCAGGCGTTAATACTGTTCAGGTTTAATGTGTTAGGCTGTTAAACCCCGTTAAAGCTGTTCGGCTGAAAAATGTTCAGGTGTTAAAAAGTTCGGCGGTTTTTCTGTTCAGGCTGTTAATGCTGTTAGGGGTTTATATGTTCAGGCTGTTTAAAAGTTCAGGTGTAATACGTTAGGGGTGTTAATACTGTTAGGTGTTAAAATGTTCAGGGTGTTAATATGTTAATATGTTCAGGGTGTAATAGTTTAGGCGTTAATACTGTCAGGCTGTTTAAAACAGTTAATACTGTTCAGGGTGTTTAAAATGTTCAGGCTGTTTAATTGTTTAGGTGTTTAGGGTTAAAACGTTAGGTGTTAAAACATTATACTGTTCAGGGTGTTAAAAACTGTTCGGCGTTAATATGTTTAGGCTTTTTAAAAGGGTGTTAAACGTTCGGGTTAAACATTTTTAAAACTGTTAGGTGTTAATTGTTTAGGGGTTTTAATAAAAGTTCAGGCTGTTCAGGCTGTTTAAATACTGTTCAGGCTGTTAATACTGTTCCTATTGTTCAGACTGTTCAGGCTGTTAATACTGTTCAGGCTGTTAATACTGTTCAGGCTGTTAATACTGTTCAGGCTGTTCAGGCTGTTAATACTGTTCAGGCTGTTAATACTGTTCAGGTGTTAATCACTGTTCAGGCTGTTAATACTGTTCAGGCTGTTATATTGTTCAGGCTGTTCCTATTGTTCAGACTGTTCAGACATACAGTATGTAGTCAGTCATAGTACTTTACATACACATGGTAGTCAGACAGTGATCCTGTATGTAGCTAGTCATAGTACATCCATAGTCTTCTTCTTCTTCTTTACATACTGCCATAGGAGTCACGTCCTTCCATGTCTCTGTCTCCTTCCAGAGTCAGAGGAGATCAAGGCGTGTCCTCGTTGTGGGGCCTACATCATGAAGACCAACGATGGCAGCTGTAACCGGATGAACTGTACCGTGTGTGCCTGTCAGTTCTGCTGGCTGTGTATGCAAGAGATCACCGACGTGCACTACCTCAGGTAGCTATAGCCACTGTTACTAACGGTTACCACTACCTCAGGTAGCTATAGCCACTGTTACTAACGGTTACCACTACCTCAGGTAGCTAGAGCCACTGTTACTAATGGTTACCACTACCTCAGGTAGCTATAGCCACTGTTACTAACGGTTACCACTACCTCAGGTAGCTAGAGCCACTGTTACTAACGGTTACCACTACCTCAGGTAGCTATAGCCACTGTTACTAACGGTTACCACTAGGGCTGTGGCGGTCATGGTTATTGTCATGCAAAAGACTGCTGGTCTCACGGTAATTGAACGTTAATTAACATAAACACGTTTAGTATCTCCAGGCCTCCAGGCATCCAGGCATCCAGGCATCCAAGCTGCAATACAAGCTGCTGATGAGCGCCTTTGCAACCTCTACATTTAAAGAAGTCTAATATATCTATTTAATATACACCATCACAATACACCCATTATTTATTTAGTCAAGTCTAAAGAAAGATTATTTATTTATTTAACCTTTATTTAACCAGGTAAGCCAGTTGAGAACAAGTTCTCATTTACAACTGCGACCTGGCCAAGATAAAACAAAGCAGTGCGATAAAAACAACAACACAGAGTTACATATGGGGTAAACAAAACATAAAGTCAAAAATACAACAGAAAATATATATACAGTGTGTGCAAATGTAGCAAGTTATGGAGGTAAGGCAATAAATAGACCATAGTGCAAAATAATTACAATTAGTATTAACACTGGAATGATAAATGTGCAGAAGATTATGTACAAATATAGATACTGGGGTGCAAATGAGCAAAATAAATTACAATGTAAATAACAATATGGGGATGAGGTAGTTGGGTAGGCTAATTACAGATGGGCTGTGTACAGGTGCAGTGATCGGTAAGCTGCTCTGACAACTGATGCTTAAAGTTAGTGAGGGAGATAAGTGTCTCCAGCTTCAGAGATTTTTGCAGTTCGTTCCAGTCATTTGCAGCAGAGAACTGGAAGGAATGGCGACCAAAGGAGGTGTTGGCTTTGGGGATGACCAGTGAGATATACCTGCTGGAGCGCATACTATGGGTGGATGTTGCTATGGTGACCAAAGAGCTAAGATAAGGCGGGGATTTGCCTAGAAGGGATTTATAAATGACCTGGAGCCAGTGGGTTTGGCGACGAATATGTAGTGAGGGCCAGCCAACGAGAGCGTACAGGTCACAATGGTGGGTAGTATATGGGGCTTTGGTGACAAAACGGATGGCATTGTGATAGACTACATCCAATTAGCTGAGTAGAGTGTTGGAAGCTATTTTGTAAATGACATCGCCGAAGTCAAGGATCAGTAGGATAGTCAGTTTTACGAGGGCATGTTTGGCAGCATGAGTGAAGGAGGCTTTGTTGCGAAATAGGAAGCCAATTCTAGATTTAACTTTGGATTGGAGATGCTTAATGTGAGTCTGGAAGGAGAGTTTACAGTCTAACCAGACACCTAGGTATTTGTAGTTGTCCACATATTCAAAGTCAGAGCCGCCGAGAGTAGTGATTCTAGTCGGGCAGGCGGGTGCAAGCAGCGTTCGATTGAAGAGCATGCATTTAGTTTTACAAGCGTTTAAGAGCAGTTGGAGGCTACTGAAGGAGTGTTGTATGGCATTGAAGCTCGTTTGGAGGTTTGTTAACACAGTGTCCAATGAAGGGCCAGATGTATACAAAATGTTGTCGTCTGCGTAGAGGTGGATCTGAGAGTCACCAGCAACAAGAGCGACATCATTGATATACACAGAGAATAGAGTCGGCCCGAGAATTGAACCCTGTGGCACCCCATAGAGACTTCCAGAGGTCCAGACAACAGGCCCTCCGATTTGACACATTGAACTCTATCTGAAAAGTAGTTGGTGAACCAGGCGAGGCAGTCATTTGAGAAACCAAGGCTATTTAGTCTGCCAATAAGAATGTGGTGATTGACAGAGTCAAAAGCCTTGGCCAGGTCAATGAAGACTGCTGCACAGTACTGTCTTTTATCGATCACGGTTATAATATCGTTTAGAACCTTTAGCATGGCTGAGGTGCACCCATGACCAGCTCGGAAACCGGATTGCATAGCGGAGAAGGTACGGTGGGATTCGAAATGGTCGGTGATCTGTTTGTTAACTTGGCTTTCAAATACTTTCGAAAGGCAGGGCAGGATGGATATAGGTCTGTAGCAGTTTGGATCTAGAGTGTCACCCCCTTTGAAGAGGGGGATGACCGCGGCAGCTTTCCAATCTCTGGGGATCTCAGACGATACGAAAGAGAGGTTGAACAGGCTGGTGATTGGGGTTGCGACAATTTCTGCGGCTAATTTTAGAAAGAAAGGGTCCAGATTGTCTAGCCCAGCTGATTTGTAGGGGTCCAGATTTTGCAGCTCTTTCAGAACATCAGCTATCTGAATTTGGGTGGGGGGTGGTTGGGTGGGGGGTTGCATGGGCAAGTTGCAGCGGAGGGTGCAGAGTTTGAATGAATCATCACCTTAGAAAGCGCTGGCCATTTCGTTGTGTTAGGCTTTGAAACAACATCCAGCACGTCCAAGTTTTTCACTCAGTTTCAACCTGCTGTTGAACTTCTTTCTTCAAATTGATCAATCACAGTTTTAAAACATGATACTATTTTGATGATGCGTTTTGATTTTTTGATTGCATTTGCATTGATGTCAGAGTGGTTAGAGGGACAATAGAGCCCTGAGTACCAGGCCATTAGGACCTGATGGTTAGAGGGACAATAGAGCCCTGAGTACCAGGCCATTAGGACCTGATGGTTAGAGGGACAATAGAGCCCTGAGTACCAGGCCATTAGGACCTGATGGTTAGAGGGACAGTAGAGCCCTGAGTACCAGGCCATTAGGACCTGATGGTTAGAGGGACAATAGAGCGCTGAGTACCAGGCCATTAGGACCTGATGGTTAGAGGGACAATAGAGCCCTGAGTACCAGGCCATTAGGACCTGATGGTCAGAGGGACAATAGAGCCCTGAGTACCAGGCCATTAGGACCTGATGGTTAGAGGGACAATAGAGCCCTGAGTACCAGGCCATTAGGACCTGATGGTTAGAGGGACAATAGAGCGCTGAGTACCAGGCCATTAGGACCTGATGGTTAGAGGGCCAATAGAGCCCTGAGTACCAGGCCATTAGGACCTGATGGTTAGAGGGACAATAGAGCCCTGAGTACCAGGCCATTAGGACCTGATGGTTAGAGGGACAATAGAGCCCTGAGTACCAGGCCATTATGACCTGATGGTTAGAGGGACAATAGAGCCCTGAGTACCAGGCCACTAGGACCTGATGGTTAGAGGGACAATAGAGCGCTGAGTACCAGGCCATTAGGACCTGATGGTTAGAGGGACAATAGAGCCCTGAGTACCAGGCCATTAGGGCCTGATGGTTAGAGGGACAATAGAGCCCTGAGTACCAGGCCATTAGGACCTGATGGTTAGAGGGACAATAGAGCCCTGAGTACCAGGCCATTAGGACCTGATGGTTAGAGGGCCAATAGAGCCCTGAGTACCAGGCCGTTAGGACCTGATGGTTAGAGGGACAATAGAGCCCTGAGTATCAGGCCATTAGGACCTCCTAATGGTCATTAGCTAGTTGGGTACTACCAACGCCCAGAGTGAATAACAGGACATTACCATAATAATAATAATATGCCATTTAGCAGACGCTTTTATCCAAAGCGACTTACAGTCACGTGTGCATACATTTTTACGTATGGGTGGTCCCGGGAATCGAACCCACTACCCTGGGCGTTACAAGCGCCGTGCTCTACCAGCTGAGCTACAGAGGACCACCCATGACTCAGTCACATAGCATTTTACTGTGGTCATGACTCATGACTGCCGGTGTGGTGGTAATACCGTCACCGCAACAGCCCTGGTTACCACTACCTCAGGTAGCTATAGCCACTGTCACTAACGGTTACCAGCTGTTGGAAATAGATTCACTTTGACCAAGAACCCTATTCTATCACATGGGACACACAGGCAGATACACTGACAGGCAGCGGACACAGACACAAAGTGGGACAGAGAAATGTAACCAAAGAGACAGACCAACCACGCTCCACTCCGAGGTACTGTCATATCAATTTAGGTCAGACTGACAAAGCCTATGGGGTTTTTAAAGACTCATTGATCCCAGCCATCAGATAAAATGTGGCATTATACTACCCCATGTCTTTCTACAGTAGAGGAGCAAGCACCACGCATCTCTGTAGCTATTATATGAATGTATTCCAAATGGCACCCTATTCCCTATATAGAGCACTGCTTCCCAATGAGCCCTGGTCAAAAGAAGTGCACTATATAGTGAATAGGGTGCCATATGGGATGTAGACACATATAATGTGGTCCTCTGTAGCTCAGCTGGTAGAGCACGGCGCTTGGGTAGTGGGTTCGATCCCCGGGACCACCCATACACAAAAATGTATGCACGCATGACTGTAAGTCGCTTTGGATAAAAGTGTCTGCTAAATGGCATATTATTGTTATTATTATTATTATAATAGCTATAGAGATTGTCTGGTTTGCTCCTATGTCTCTGTTTCTAAACTGTTTTAATAACATGGCAGTGGAGTGGTAGCAGCCGTTGATTTTCCCAATGTTGGACGAGCGCCAGTGCTGACTTTTAATCAATGAATCAGCCGAATCTGCTCCAATGTGTGTCCTAAATGGCTCCCTTTTCCCTGTACAGGGCCTTCAGAAAGTATTCATACCACTTTTCTTATTCCACGTGTTGTTGTGTAACAGCCTGAATTCACCCATCTATCTACACACAATACCCGATAATTACTGTTCAGACTTTTTAATTTTAATTTTAATTTCACCTTTATTTAACCAGTTAAGCCAGTTGAGAACAAGTTCTCATTTACAACTGCGACCTGCCCAAGATAAAGCAAAGCAGTGCGATTTAAAAACAACAACAACACAGAGTTACATATGGGGTAAAACAAAAACGTACAGTCAATAACACAATAGAACATCTATATACAGTGTGTGCAAATGTAGTAAGTTATGGAGGTAAGGCAATAAATAGGCCATAGTGCAAAATAATTACAATTATAATTTAGTATTAGCACTGGAGTGATTAATGTGCAGAAGATGATGTGCAAATAGAGATACTGGGGTGCAAATGAGCAAAATAAATAACAATGTAAATAACAATATGGGGATAGGTAGTTGACTGTTCAGACTGTGTTACAGCCTGAATTGAAAAATAGATGAAATTGATTTTTCTCTCTCCCAATGACAAAGTGAAAACATATTTTTTTAAATATTTGTAAACTTATTGAAAATGAAATACAGAAATATTTCATTTACATAAGTATTCACACCCCTGAGTCAATACATGTTAGAATCACCTTTGGCAGCGATTACAGATGTGAGTCTTTCTGGGTAAGTCTCTAAGAGCTTTGCACACCTGGATTGGCCATTTATTCTTTTCAAAATTCTTATTTTCAAGTCTTGCCATATATTTTCAAGCAGATTTAAGTCAAAACTGTAACTCGGCCACTCAGGAACATTCAATGTCTTCTTGGTAAGCAACTCCAGTGTATATTTGGCCTTGTGTTTTAGGTTATTGTCCTGCTGAAAGGTGAATTCATCTCCCAGTGTCTGGTGGAAAGCAAACTGAACCAGGTTTTCCTCTAGGATTATGCCCTGTGCTTAGCTCCATTACGTTTCTTTTTTATCCTGAAAAACTCCCCAGTACTTAACAATAACAAGCATATACAAGCATACCCATAACATGATGCAGCCACCACCATGCTTGGAAATATGGAGAGTGGTATTCAGTAATGTGTTGTGTTGGATTTGCCCTGAACATGTTTTGGAATATTCCTTCTTTTCACTCTGTCAATTAGGTTAGTATTGTGGAGTAACTACAATGTTGTTGATCCATCCTCAGTTTTCTCCTATCACAGCCATTAAACTCTGTAACTGTTTTAAAGTCACCATTGGCCTCATGGTGAAATCCCTGAGCGGTTTCCTTCCTCTCCGGCAGCTGAGTTAGGAAGGACACCTGTATCTTTGTAGTGACTGGGTGTATTGATACACAATCCAATGTAATTAATAACTTCACCGTGCTCAAAGGGATATTCAATGTCTGCTTTCTTTTTACCCATCTACCAATAGGTGCCCTTCTTTGCGAGGCATTGGAAAACCGCCTTGGTCTTTTTGGTTGAATCTGTGTTTGAAATTCACTGCTCAACTGAGGGACCTTACAGATAATTGTGTGTATGTGTGGGGTACAGAGATGAGGTAGTCATTACAAAATCATGTTAAACACTATTATTGCACACAGAGTGAGTCCATACAACTTATTATGTGACTTGTTAAGACATGGTTTTACTCCTGAACTTATTTAGGCTTGCTCTAACAAAGGGTTTGCATACTTATTGACTCGAGACATTTCAGCTTTTCATTTGTAATTAATTTGTAACATTTTGGAGAAAAAACATAATTTCACTTTGACATTATGGGCGGTTGTGTGTAGGCCAGTGACAAACCATCTCAATTTAATCCATTTAAAATTCAGACTGTGTAACACAACAGAATGTGGAAAAAGTCAAGGTGTGTGTGAATACTTTCTGATGGCACTGTATATGGAACAAACTCTCATGAATGCATTGCAGTCCCTCGGGCTGTACATTCTGGTCCATCATCTAAACTCTTCTTCCTGTCTCTTCCTCCAGTCCCTCGGGCTGTACATTCTGGGGGAAGAAGCCGTGGTCTCAGACCCGGAGGGTGCTGTGGCAGGTGGGCATGCTGCTGGGCGCCCCAGTAGTCATCTCACTCATCGCTGGCATCGCCATCCCAGTCATCATAGTGGGCATTCCCATCTACATGGGCCGCAAGGTACGAGGATATATTGACCCCTAACCCTAACCCATCTACATGGGCCGCAAGGTACAAGGACATATTGACCCCTAACCCCTAACCCATCTACATGGGCCGCAAGGTTGGAGGACATATTGACCCCTAACCTTAACCCATCTATATGGGCCGCAAGGTAGGAGGACATATTGACCCCTAACCCCTAACCCATCTACATGGGCCGCAAGGTACAAGGACATATTGACCCCTAACCTTAACCCATCTATATGGGCCGCAAGGTAGGAGGACATATTGACCCCTAACCCCTAACCCATCTACATGGGCCGCAAGGTACGAGGATATATTGACTCCTAACCCATCTACATGGGCCGCAAGGTTGGAGGACATATTGACCCCTAACCTTAACCCATCTATATGGGCCGCAAGGTAGGAGGACATATTGACCCCTAACCCCTAACCCATCTACATGGGCCGCAAGGTACGAGGATATATTGACTCCTAACCCATCTACAAGGGCCGCAAGGTACGAGGACATATTGACCCCTAACCCTAACCCAGCTACATGGGCCGAAAGGTAGGAGGACATATTGACCCCTAACCCCTAACCCATCTATATGGGCCGCAAGATTGGAGGACATATTGACCCCTAACCCCTAACCCCTATCCCTAACCCCTAACCCCTATCCCTAACCCCTAACCCCTAACCCCTAACCCATCTAAATGGGCTGAAAGATAGGACCTTGTCTTGTATAGAGAGACTAGTAATGTCAGCTCTCTGTAAAGTCTATTGGTCGCTTGTTTTCTGCTCTTAAGTGATATTTTAATAAAGCTATCGGTCATACAAATACAGCAATTCAACCATTTTATTCTAAATTGAAATCTGTCATCAATTGTAAAAAAAAAAAAAAAAAAAAAATACTAATGATGCTATAAATGATCATGTCAACCATTTTGAAGTCATGAGTTATTCTTCCCCCAGGTCCACGGTCGCTGTAAGAAGAACAATATCTCAGGTAGTAAACATTACTTAACGGTGGCCAGCGGCGTCATGATGTCCGTGTTCGTCTCGCCCGTCATAGCTGCTGTCACTGTGGGTAAGGACAAACAACAAACAACAAACAACAAACAACAAACAACACAAACCACAAGAACAACACTCCCATCTTGTCCACTAAAACCCTAAGAGTTAGGCCCGGGAATTTACAGGGGGCGACATGCACTTCCTGATTCGGCCTTGTTTTTCATGAAGGCTCGTTAAGAAAACACGCTAGTGGTTCATGACCGAAGGCAAACGACAGTTGTCTTGGGGTTGTGGTTTGAAGTGGGTGCTTCTTGGATGCGTCTTTGCCATTCAGTCACAACAAACGGTCCCAGTAGTGAGGACAGTGAGGTAAGCTAAGCTAGCTTTGCTATGGAGAGTTGAGGACTTCTCTCTTGCTGACTGACTCGCCATCTCTAGATGGTCAGCTGATTGAGTCCTATGTAGGCTAAAGCCTGCGCTGACCTTGTGTTTAGCCAAGCTGACAGCGGCTAGCTAACACAGATTGGTGATGGCTATCCTATCTAGCTGATATTTCTCAGTCGAATCAGTTATGGCAAGAAATCAAGAGCCAGTGTCTGGAATGTGTTTCGTAAGACACTCATTCTACAACACCTTGCTTCGAAAGTAGCTTGCAACTTAGTTTCAAAGTTTCATCACGTCATGGACTATATTTGCAGTGAAAGTTAAAGTCAAGAGTCTGTTTAATCTGTTTAAAAGTGTTACTTGCCGTCACACTGTGTTGTTATAATGGTACATGCAGTCCTTTGGGAGAAAAAAAAAAACGACTTCCTGGACAGTGGAGCAGCAATAAAGCAGTAATTTAAGTAATCCCAGATGGCACCCTATTCCATATGGGCCCTGGTCTAAAGTAGTGCACTACATAGGGAATAGGGTGCTATTTGAGACGCAGCATTGATGTCTTACTGTGTGGAGAGAGAGATGGTGGAAGATGGAAGATGTCTTACTGTGTGGAGAGAGAGATGGTGGAAGATGGAAGATGTCTTACTGTGGAAATCTGGGAAAAGAGCTGACGCGCACAAGAACACACACATATATATATATATATACACACACACACAGAATAGCCTTGGAATAGCTTCTACCCCTTATTCTCTTTGACATGTCATTTCATAACAATGTCTGTCTCTGGCAGAAGCCTGGGTTCAAATAGTATTAGGTTTCTTTCAAAAACCTTAACCTGTGCTTGATTGATCTTGCCTGGTGCAATGAAGCCAATGCAATAGTCCCAAAGGTGCAAACCCCACCCATCTGGCACTCCAGGCAGGCTCAATCAAATGAACCCAGGTCTGTCTCTGGGGCATGGGAGCTTACTGGAGCCTGCCCCTGTCTTGCCCTGGCTTGTCCTGGCTTGCCCTGGCTTGTCCTGGCTTGCCCTGGCTTGCCCTGGCTTGTCCTGTCTTGCCCTGGCTTGCCCTGGCTTGTGTGTGTGTGTGTGTGTGTGTGTGTGTGTGTGTCCTGCCTGACCCTGCCGCCTCTGAAGTGTCACTACGATCACCACACTGTTGAACTGAAGCCTCACTGTAGTCCCCTGCTCTTCGGCTCCACTCCCTCCTCCTCCTCCTCCTCCATCCACCCCTCTCTCCATCTGAAAGGACTTGTCTGTTGTCGGGGGCTTTAGCTCTGACCCCTCTTTTTCTATCCCTCTCTTCCTCTCACCTGTCTCTTCCTCTTTCTCTCTCTCCTTCTGTCTCTCCTGTCCCTCTTTCTCTCACTTTCCCTCTTTCTCCTCCTCGTCTCTCTCTGTCTCTCCTCCTCGTCTCTCCTCCTTGTCTCTCCTCCTCGTCCCTCTCTGTATCTCCTCCTCATCTCTCTGTCTCTCCTCCTTGTCTCTCCTCCTCGTCTCGCTCTGTCTCTCCTCATCTCGCTCTGTCTCTCCTCCTCGTCTCTCTCTGTCTCTCCTCCTCGTCTCTCTTCCTCATCTCTCTCTGTCTCTCCTCCTTGTTTCTCCTCCTTGTCTCTCTGTCTCTCCTCCTCATCTCGCTCTGTCTCTCCTCGTCTCGCTCTGTCTCTCCTCCTCGTCTCGCTCTGTCTCTCCTCCTCGTCTCTCTCTGTTTCTCCTCCTCGTCTCTCTCTGTCTCTCCTCCTCGTCTCGCTCTGTCTCTCCTCCTTGTCTCTCCTCCTCATCTCTCTCTGTCTCTCCTCCTCGTCTCGCTCTGTCTCTCCTCCTTGTTGCTCTGTCTCTCCTCATCTCGCTCTCTCTCCTCCTCGTCTCTCTCTGTTTCTCCTCCTCGTCTCGCTCTGTCTCTCCTCCTCGTCTCGCTCTGTCTCTCCTCCTCGTCTCTCTCTGTCTCTCCTCCTCATCTCACCCTGTCTCTCCTCCTCATCTCGCTCTGTCTCTCCTCCTCGTATCTCTCTGTCTCTCCTCCTCGTCTCGCTCTGTCTCTCCTCCTCGTCTCTCTCTGTCTCTCCTCCTTGTCTCTCCTCCTTGTCTCTCTCTGTCTCTCCTCCTCGTCTCTCTCTGTCTCTCCTCCTCGTCTCGCTCTGTCTCTCCTCCTCGTCTCTCTCTGTATCTCCTCCTCATCTCTCTGTCTCTCCTCCTCGTATCTCTCTGTATCTCCTCCTCATCTCTCTGTCTCTCCTCATCTCTCTCTGTCTCTCCTCATCTCTCTGTCTCTCCTCCTCATCTCTCTGTCTCTCCTCATCTCTCTGTGTCTCTCCTCATCTCTCTGTCTCTCCTCCTTGTCTCTCCTCCTCGTTTCTCTCTGTCTCTCCTCCTCGTCTCTCTCTGTATCTCCTCCTCATCTCTCTGTCTCTCCTCCTCGTATCTCTCTGTATCTCCTCCTCATCTCTCTGTCTCTCCTCATCTCTCTCTGTCTCTCCTCATCTCTCTGTCTCTCCTCCTTGTCTCTCCTCCTCGTATCTCTCTGTATCTCCTCCTCATCTCTCTGTCTCTCCTCATCTCTCTCTGTCTCTCCTCCTCATCTCTCTGTCTCGCCTCCTCGTCTCTCTCTGTCTCTCCTCCTTGTCTCTCCTCCTCGTCTCTCCTCCTCGTCTCGCTCCGTCTCTCCTCCTCGTCTCTCTCTGTCTCTCCTCCTCGTCTCTCTGTCTCTCCTCCTCGTCTCGCTCTGTCTCTCCTCCTCATCTCTCTCTGTCTCTCCTCCTCGTCTCTCTCTGTTTCTCCTCTTCATCTCTCTCCGTCTCTCCTCCTCGTCTCGCTCTCTCTCCTCCTCATCTCTCTCTGTCTCTCCTCCTTGTCTCTCTCTGTCTCTCCTCCTCATCTCGCTCTGTCTCTCCTCCTCGTCTCGCTCTGTCCCTCCTCATCTCTCTCTATCTCTCCTCCTTGTCTCTCTCTGTCTCTCCTCCTCGTCTCTGTCTCTCCTCCTCGTCTCGCTCTGTCTCTCCTCCTCATCTCGCTCTGTCTCTCCTCCACATCTCTCTCTGTCTCTCCTCCTCATCTCTCTCTGTCTCTCCTCCTTGTCTCTCCTCATTGTCTCTCTCTGTCTCTCCTCCTTGTCTCTCTCTGTATCTCCTCCTCATCTCTCTCTGTCTCTCCTCCTCATCTCTGTCTCTCCTCCTCATCTCTCTCTGTCTCTCCTCCTTGTCTCTCCTCCTTGTCTCTCTCTGTCTCTCCTCCTTGTCTCTCTGTATCTCCTCCTCATCTCTCTCTGTCTCTCCTCCTCATCTCTGTCTCTCCTCCTCGTATCTCTCTGTCTCTCCTCCTCATCTGTCTCTCCTCCTCATCTCTCTCTGTCTCTCCTCCTTGTTTCTCCTCCTCGTCTCTCTGTCTCTCCTCCTCGTCTCTCTGTCTCTCCTCCTCATCTCTCTCTGTCTCTCCTCCTCGTCTCTCTCTGTCTCTCCTCCTCATCTCTCTCTGTCTCTCCTCCTTGTTTCTCCTCCTCGTCTCTCTGTCTCTCTCTGTCTCTCCCGTCCCTATGTACTGGTGTCACCTTGTCTGCGGGTCATTGATGCCACAGTGTCCTATAATGTCCAGTCTAGCGTTAACGATAACGGCCCCTTTGTTTGTGATGTGAGCACTATTGTGTCCCCAACATTCCTTACTGGGTTTCATGTTTCCGTGTTGCAGCACTCTACAGGGAAGCCTTTGTCCAGCAGGTCAGGGTCACAGCAGGTTCGATGTACTGGAAAGGTTCTGTTGGACACTGCTAGCTTGCAATGTCAGTCCTGTTTCCATTTTTGTTACGTTAACCAAGTCACCGCCACATACTCTTAGTTGTTCTCATGTATCGTTAATCGTAGTACGGCCTAACAATAAAACATTTCATTTATTATTTATTTTAACCTTTATTTTGACAGGGAGTCATGTTTAGACCAAGGTGTCTGTTATCAATGTCATACCAGGAATGTCACAATCATCACTCTTCTAGCTACATTCAGATGTTTATATGTGCAGGTTATTTTCTCAAAAAGTAACATTTATTGACAAGGAAATACAGGTACCTCAGTCAGTTTCTCTTCCTGTTCTCCTGTAGGGGTGGGCGTCCTGTTGATGTCAGTCCCTCATCCTGTCTCTTCCTGTTCTCCTGTAGGGGTGGGCGTCCTGTTGATGTCAGTCCCTCATCCTGTCTCTTCCTGTTCTCCTGTAGGGGTGGGCGTCCCGTTGATGTCAGTCCCTCATCCTGTCTCTTCCTGTTCTCCTGTAGGGGTGGGCAGCCCGTTGATGTCAGTCCCTCATCCTGTCTCTTCCTGTTCTCCTGTAGGGGTGGGCAGCCCGTTGATGTCAGTCCCTCATCCTGTCTCTTCCTGTTCTCCTGTAGGGGTGGGCGTCCCGTTGATGTCAGTCCCTCATCCTGTCTCTTCCTGTTCTCCTGTAGGGGTGGGCGTCCCGTTGATGTTGACATATGTCTATGGGGTCGTCCCCATGTCGCTGTGTCGGAATGGATGGTGCCGGCCGCAGAACGAGCCCCCGGAAACACACAAGATACAACTGGAAGACCTAGCCAGCTGTAAGGGTCTTTAGTATAGTATATTGTATGCTAAATATTGTATCTAATGCTTACCTATGTTGGTAATTTGTCTTTTTGTTTTAAGAACTATGTACATTATATTATATATTATGAGTTAAAAGATTCCTTAATACTTTTATTAGAGTAACTCAATTCATCCCATCTTGAATTTTTCAACAATGAATAGTTCAAAGTAAACTAAAATACATCAGTCCAATACACTACTGTATGATTGCTTCCTAGTTTTAATCCCATGTTGTTTCTGAACTTCTCTTGAAGATCTTCTATTCTCTCATGTAGTCAGCGACCACTGGCCGGGGCCAGGGCCAAGAGGCCAGACCAACCCCGCCCTCAGCGACACCAGCGTCCAGGAAGTCCTACAGGATGTTAGGGTCAGCGTACAGGAAGTTGGCGTACTCCCCAGCACCAGCAGTGCCGCCACGCCCCCGGAACCAGATGCATGCGCAGGATTGGACGAGCATCAGATACGTCATGTTTATACGCAGCAGGACAGCCAATCAGACTGCGAAGGGGCTGGGGGTGCTGGGATGCTGGATAATACGCAGACATTCTCCTTGCGGTCAGTGTCTCTTGTCGTATCGTTTTTTTTTTGATTGATTGATTGAGCCCAAAGTCTTTCTTTGCAAAGTTTCTCTTCGTTCAATTCAAGTCAGTTCAATACAAATAAATGTATCCCCTCAGGAGCAATTACGAAAGACAAGTCAGTTAATTCCTTTGATAAAACATGGCTGAAATGTCATGTGATAGGCCTTTCCTTGATGCTGTTCATGTTGTCATGGTTGCAGGGAGGGAACAAACATCGAGGTGCGTGTGGAGATCGAGGCCCATCCACGAGGCGCGCGTCAGTCCAGCCTCAGTAGCATCCTGTCCAGTCGCAGCCTGTCGGCCGAGTCACTGGGTCGAGCGCACTCTGTAGGCCACGCCCACTCGCAAGATCACCTGGGCCACGCCCACTCCAGGGAACACCTGGACTCCACCCACTCCCAGGAACATCTGTGTGCCTCTGAACATGAAGAAGAGAGTGGAGAAAAGAGAAGAGGAGACGAGGGAAGAGGAGACGACCTGCATGTTTTTGAGACGGACAATATCTGAGCTCCGCCTACTATTTAGGCCACACCCTGTTTCCACTACAGGCCCCTCCCACCAGCTGTCCGCCTGCTCCGTCCTCTGAGAAAGAGCAGGGGGGACATGGCAAGAGAAAGGGGGGAGCAAGTGAGAGAGGAGGGAGAGATGGAAAACGTGTGTTTTGTGAAAACTAGACAAATTTAGAGAGGGAAGGATGGATCAAAAGAAACCAGAAATGACTGAAAGCATGTTGATTTGACTAGTTTGGTGGGTGTTAGCCTCACTTTATTTTACCGGGTCCTTTCAGAAGAGACTGCCTTCCCCGCTCCCACTCTTAACACTGGTCTATTTTAAATGATTATTACCAAGTCCCTTTCTCTAGCTATACCCGCATACTTATAAATCATCTACAGCCATTTGTATCAAAAGTCTCAGAGTTGGAGCGCTGATCTAGGATCCGTTTTTTGCCTTTTCGATCACAATAAATACGATTATTAATAGACAGAGAAGACCTGATCCTAGAACAGTGCTCCAACTCGGAGACGCTTGATACACACGGCGCCTAATTTCCCCTCATCTAAGAGAGAAATTGACGAGATCTAAAAGCATGTTTTGTTCTGTAGGGGTTAGCCATGTGTAACACGATGCTGCAACTCTCCTCCTGTCCTGACGCTGATGAGGTATAAAATGCTTCCTGCCCCCGCCCCCCATGCCGATGACGACATGCCATGGAATGTTGTGATGCTGCTGTGTAACAGGGGGTCTAATGAGCGGGAGTTTTTCCCCTCGCAAAAGGGTTATTTTACAGTATTCTCAGATGCAGTGTTAACCTGACTTTATGCAACACGTTTTAACAGAGGAGCTATACTGGGCTAACTTTACAGCACTTGTTGAATGCAGTTGCCCTCGACTATGACTCGTTGGCGATCTCAGTACATTTCATAGTAGACCACTTTGACCATACTGGTTATCAAGCTGGGGGGGGGGGGGGGGTGCGCTATATATTTTGGTCAGGGCATTTTTTCACTGCTGTGAATTTAAGCAGTTTTCAGGGGCCAGGTTCTGTGAAGTTTAGAGACAGACATTTCCTACAGACTCTGACCGGCCATCCCAAACGGCACCCTGTTCCCTGCCCACTGGGAACAGACGACAGTTTAACGTCTAGTTCTGATTTACATTTGGTTGAGTTGTCAACCAACGTGAATTCAACGTGATTTAAAAAATAAAATAATGTGTCATTGGTTTTAGGTTAAAAGAAAAATGACTTTTTTTTCAAATCCAATCACTTTTCCACGTTGATTCAACTTCATCACATTGCATTTTTTGGTTGAAATGGCGTGGAAACAACATTTGATTCAACCATTTTTTGCCCACTGGGTACATAGTGGACTACTTTTGACCAGGACCCATAGGGAATAGGGTGCCATTTGGGATGCACTCTCTGAATAGGGTGCCATTTTGGGATGCACCACTCTCTCTTAACAGATATGCATAATGCAGTATTTCACTAGCAACAGCAACAGCTTTCTAGCTAGGGCTTAGAACAGGGCTGGGTCACTCTGATATCCTGGCAGGGCTGTCTGCTGGTTTCTGTCTGTCAAACCAGCACCTGGGAAACCAGGTGTGTGGACTCTGTGTGTGTGTGATTAAATGTCAGACATCAGAGAGAACAGCAGGCAGCCAAGTTCCTGAGGAAGGAAGTTCCCAAATGGCACCCTATTCACTCTATAGGGAATAGGGTGCCATTTGGGATGACTTCTTGGCCTTCCCTGGCTTAGAACATCTCTCCTAAAGCTCCATGGTTCTGCTCCTCACTCACTGAGTATCCAGGAGTTAGCCAACACCACAACACACACACACACACACACACACAGTCGCTATTGAACTGCAGTAGTGTTGCTGTGGACAAACAGGAGACACAGGAACCACCACCAGACCATCTTAGTCGAGATCACAGCACCCAGACCCCCTCAGTCGATCACAGCACCCAGGCGTTCTACAAGCAGCATGCTAACTCAGGCTATATCCATTCTAGATGATTATGATGATGAGAAAATATGAACTGAAAGATTCCTGAGTGTGAAATCCCATGTGAAGAGGACCATGGGACTGGACATGGTATGCATTCAGAGCCATGGGACTTGATACAGACATGGTATGCATTGTAAATCTGATGAGGAATAAAACATGAATAAAAGAGTCCCCATGAAGGACAAAACTGAATATCATCTCGTGTCTGTCAATTTAAAAATTATCTTCAGCTCGCAAATCACACCCTATTCCCTAATATAGTGCACTACTTTTGACCAGATCCCTATGGGTTCTTATATATCATAGGGTTCTGGTCCAAAGTAGTGCACTATTTAGAGAATAGGGTGTGATTTGGGACGAAGCCCTTTTGCTATGAATATAGCTTCAGGAACTCTTGAGTAACATCTGTATTGTAACTTATTTACGACTACCTAAAAACTATTAAGGACGTTAAATTGTGTCTTATTTACAGTGGTCTGAACGGAGTGGAGTGGGGACATGGCACAGGAGGAGTCAGGTTTTGCACCTTTAACGTTTGGCTGCGGACCGCCGTCGTAGCTCAGTTGGTAGAGCATGGCGCTTGCAACGCCAGGGTTGTAGGTTCGATTCCCACGGGGGACCAGTATGGAAAAATAAAAATGAAATGTAAGTCGCTCTGGATAAGAGCGTCTGCTAAATGGACTAAAATGTAAATGAAGGAGTCTGTAGCCATGATGTAATGACTGCTCATATTCAACAGAGGGCGCTAGAACATAGGTGATATTGATCCTCAGAGCAGTGGTAGGCTACAGCTTGGGGAATTGCGTTATCTGCATCTAAGGACAAATGTTGATTGGATCATGAAAACTATTTTATTTTATTACGGGCTTTTTCCACAGGTTTTATATCCTACTTTTCATTAGATATAATTTGATACAGATTCTTAAGTTCCAAAATGTTGTGTCCTGCTCAGGGGCTTTGGAGACCCCAGGCAGAAAGCCAGTCAGATTGTCAAACAAATCACTTCCGCTCTGGATAAGAGCGTCTGCTAAATGACTAAAATGTAAATGTAACTTCAAAAAGTAGGTTACCTTCGCACGTTCATCCAAAATAAATGTCCAGCATCCGAACAGTGCACTGTGCACCCGCCAACTGTCCTTCAATTACAAGTGGATGAAACTATCACCGGAGAAAGCATCCGAGCGAGCGAAACAACGCCCCTCTGTCTTACTTTGTGTAGTCAATGTCCCTGACATATTATGTTTTGGCCAGACCGCATCAGATCCATGGGCTACACACACACACGTCGTCTATCTCCACGACGATGGCAGAATTACCAGCAGCAAATGTAATTTTTTTTTTTACTAAAGAAATGCGTTAACTTATGTCATTTTTCTGTTAAAATTAAAATATTTGTTATTTCTTTTTTATTTTCTCTGTCCAGGCTCTGAAAGCTCCTCATTGCTGCAGCTTCATTTCAACGAAAGTCGCGTTTGCAATCACACGGTGTGAAACAATTGACGGGAACTCTGTCCGGGTGCAATAGTCAACAATGTGGCCTCATCAAGCAGGGCACAGCGGCCAGGCAAAACCCCCTCCCTCCATCCCTCCCTCCCAATTTCCTTTGCAACTTTGAAGCTTCCAGCAGATTTAGCTGCTGCTAAACCAACCTGCTGAAGCAAGACAGAATGAGAGCGATGAGCTGACAATGGGGGGACTCAAGCGGTAAAATTATATAATAAATAAAGATGACTAGTAAAAAAAACATATATATATATATATATATATATATATATATATATATATATATATATATATATATGCCCAGCTTACGAGGCCCCTTGATGAAGTGCTGTCTGAGGCAATTGCCTCTTCTGCCTAATGGTAAGTCTTTCACTGGTCCTGCTGAAACCCCCCTTTGTCACCTTGTTAATTGGTCATGTTAGTGCCGTGATTTCTGGTAGAGGGATGACTGGTAGAGGGATGACTGGTAGAGGGATGACTGTTAGAGGGATGACTGGTAGAGGGATGACTGTTAGAGGGATGACTGGTAGAGGGATGACTGTTAGAGGGATGACTGGTAGAGGGATGACTGGTAGAGGGATGACTGTTTGTGACCTTTATGAATGATGAAGCCTTTATGTGCTTTGTGTTATTACATTAGCTGATGAAGACTATCTCATAAAACAAAACGTATAAGATCTCCTAAGCCTTTGTTTATCACGGACCTTATTTTCAGAGTTTATCCAACCACCCTACAAAAATGCCATTAATTTCCCAATAGGCTTTGTCCAAGGAACCATGGCGGAGTTAGTGCCTTCAAAAAGACGCCATTACTATTTCTCTCTATATCAATAAAACATTTTCGCTTTACTTTCGTCCTGATCTAGCCTACCTGTGAGCGGCTCCTGCCCTCACATCACGCAGCAAGTGTTCTGCCAGTTGTTCCTTTAGTAATTTAATTCCATCTAAAACTTATTTCCATGATTGAGAACGGAGTTAGGCTATATTGTAAATGCACTAGAGAGCGATAATACGAATTTATAGAATTAATCTGCAAATGTACCGCATTCAATAGAGTACCACAGTATGAGTCATAATACCCATAAAACCTAGCGGTCAAACAGGGGAAATAGTTCCAATAGGGGATTTTAGAAACACTTCGTGTAGTCTTACCCTGACTCTCTCCAGGACAAGGTGCCTTTTATTTACCCCGACAAAAGTGAAATGCTAATTAGCTGCTAATATGGCTATCATAAAGAACTACAAATGCCATGATGATCTGGACGAGACTGCTGAATTGAGTCAAAGGTAATAATCTCCGGATTAACTATCTAGTGTTAACTAAATGTAGTAATGATTAAATTGCCTACATTTATTTAAATGGGCAATTCTTTGAACTGTCTTGTGCAAGTAAATTAACTCAATAACTGTTAATAAAGTTGTCAGCTGGAGCTGATGTGCAGGAGCTTGCAGGGATTTGTAGTTTTGCGTGATGTCTACTTTTATGCTAATTAGCATTTTCGAATCTGAGAGTAAATAGAGCCAAATATATTGATAAAAGTCACCTTGTCCGAGATAGATTTACACGGTTATCAAAACGTCATGCCAGGGTAAGCCTACACAAAACACAGCCCTTTTTTGAAGTGTTTCTAAAATCCCCTATGGGAAAAATGAATGGTGGAAAAACGATTGGAACCATTTCCCTGTTTGACCGCTAGGTTTTATGGGTATTATGACACCTCCACTGTGGGGCTCTATGCAAGACTCCTCTAGAAATGGGTGTGGCGGAGGGCTAGACACACCTTTCCTTCATGCCCGCCCCATGTTCGTTCCGCTCCCAACCCAGGCAGCACCGGAGAGCAACGGACCCTCGTTTCAAGGAACGGGAGTTTGAACTTGGTCCTATCGGCTGCTTGTTCGCTCGCTGCACCGCGCATCACTAGTAGTCGA